ACACTCAAGCATCTATGTTGGAAGCAGGTTCTGAAGCTTCCGGCTCTGTGACGGGAGAAGCACTTCTCGTTCTCTCCTTGTTTGGCTTCTTGGTGCTCTTCAGCTTATTGGTCATGCTATCTGCCTTAGAAACAATCTGTGAAACCGTGAAACCAGCTTCCTCAAAAATTGAAGCTCTCTCATGGACTAAGGAGCTCCTGGAGATGACATCAACACCATCATAGGCCCATAATCCTAACACCGCCTCTCCTTTCAGCCCAATTCCAAACCAGCCAAGACCAGCAATGGCTATATCCTTAGAGTTTGTATCCCAACTGTTCCCAGAAACTTTGAACTGTTTCCTCACCCATTTACCAAGCTCCTTTACCCGCTCCTGGCCTATGGGAGGCTGCAAAATTACCAGAACAACAGTGGAAATGTAGTTTATGCAAAGTACTAGAACAATATCTGGGGAAAGGCATGTAATGCTGTGCTACCTGTAGTTGTAAGCCAAAGTGTTCTTTCATCAATGCTGCTGAGTTTTCTGTCTTTCCCATGTGAAGTGGGACAAGTGGTGATGCCCAAACTGTAACATAAATCGATCCTACAGTTAACTCTTCAACATCCAGGCGCACCAGTCCACCAATATGTATAGACTGTCCTGTCTGGAAACGATGCAAGAACAAAGTACACTTCAAGTAATGATCATTTGACAACTGCTGTTTAGTAGTGAATAATCATGTGTCACAAATGCTTTATCTAATGATGCTCCAAACAATTTAAGATCAAATCAACAATGTCAGTGAAGAACATCACAACCTAATAACTGAAAATTCATAAACTTAATTATTTGTCCATTATCTAGTTCAATTCATAACCAATGAACTGCTAAGTTCAGTTTCGCAAAAACTGCAGTACTATATTTGAGTAGACATTTTACAGATTAAACCAAGTTGCAGCGTGCTGTAGTTTTGACAAGAAACTTTTGTGGAACTTGAGAAGATAGGAAGCAGCCAGACCATTGGACATATTGACACGTATCATTAGGGAATATATCAAGATAAGGAAAATAAATGTGACCTTTATTCTGTAAGTTCTGGGACTCATCTCCTTTCTCACTTGAACCAACTTCATCTCCTCGCTCGTCAGTCTAGATGTCAACTGATGCCCATGGAGAAGTCCAGGAGTATCAAACAGCTTCGCTTGAGCGCCAAGAACGCCGTCTAGCTTAATCACGTCAAGGGTCGTTCCCGGAACTGGAGCCTCCGTCAAGGTGGGTCGCCCGACTATGCCAGAGCATCTGGCAATCGCATTGAGCAGCGTTGACTTGCCAACATTCCGCGCACCCACGGCCCAGACATTGCCGCGCGTCCCGGAGAGCTCGCGCACATGTTCGAGCAGGTCGCGGACGCCCCATCCGCGCGCGGCGCTAACCAAGTGCACCCCAGCGAGCCGAAGGTCGGAACCCGCACCGGCGCGAGCGCGGGAGTGCGCCCACGCGTGCACATCGTCGGGGGACAGCGACGGCGTGGGGAGCAGGTCGAGCTTAGTGACCACGAGCAGCGCGCGTGGGAGGTTGGCCGGGGCCCCGTGCTTCCAGTCCGCGCGGTGGGCCTCGCCGGCTGCGGCCACCAACCGCGCGACGGCGCGCGGGAACGAGCCATCGAAGTCAGAGGCGTCCGCCAGGAGCAGCACTAGTGACCTGGCCCCGGAAGGCGACGCGAGGCGCGGGCCGACGGCGGCGACGAAGTCGAAGTCCGGGAGGAGCCGCTCGGCGTCCGGATGCTTGACGCGGCCGTAGTGGCGCAGCGAGTGGCATCGCGCGCACACCAACACCTTGCCCTCTCCCTTGGCCTCCGCCGTCTCAGCCGCCGCCGCGGCCGGCTTGTAGCCCCCCGACGGCTCTAAGTCCTCCCGGAGGTGACCGGACTTGAGGGAGGCGGATATTCGGGTGTCGTCGACGGTGACGCGCGCGAGGCGCGCGCGGTAGTCGGGGGATTTTGCGGAGGGGAGCAAGAAGAACCCCGGGAGCGCGGGGTCGGAGGATTGCATGGCGATTCCGCATCCCGGGCAGACTTCATTGACGCGGAGGGCCGGGAGGTCAGAAGATACCATCGCTGGAGGCGGTGATGTGGACGGCGGCGTTGCGGGTGGTGAGGAGCAGAGGTGGCGGCGGAAGAGGATCGATAAGGTTTTAGAGGTTTGGGCGGAAGCGCTGTGTTGAGGTGGGAGCGGAGGAGGACGGGAGGGTGCAGGCGTGTTTGGGAGGAGGAATCGGCGGACGGCGGGGTGGAGGGCGCGCGCGGGATAGCATCTTGCTGTGCCGCCGCCGCTTGGTGATCGGCGGGCGGTGGGTTTCAGGTGTTCGACACGAGAGGACAGGCTGCTGCTTCCAAACCTACAAGGTGTTCGACGTAAGTTCGAAATGGAGCCAACGTTTTGGGCTTTGGCCTTGTGATGAAGTTAATGTGGGCCGTTTACACTGGGCTTTCATTCAGTACTGCTATCACAATTCACAGGCGGAAAAACCAATCTGTCACTGCACTACCGTCGTAGCTGATTTATCTTCTTGGACTCTAAAATTAGGGCCTTAAATGATAATTGCTTTGAAAGATCTGTGCATACAAATCTGTTGAGTGAGATTAAAACTTTTTATGTATTTAGAGTTCTCTGAGTGTACCATTTCTCAGGTATCCAGAGAGTGTAGTGTTGTAGTAGATACTCTGGCGGCTATAAGCCTGAATTGTACTATGGTCCTCTTATGTGGCAAGACCATGCATCAAACTTTGTAGCTTCATTGGTGTCCGGGAACTATGATTTTCATTTCAAAAGAAAATCTAAAATTACCTTCATGCTTTGGTTTGAAGTGATTTGGAAGACAATTTTGTCTTTTGCAATTTAAAAAAAGTTTGATAAATATTTGATAAGGTTTTTGTAACCACAAAAAATGTCTCTAATCTTATATAAATTCTGGAAAAAAGAATCTAGAGGTAGTTTGGGATAAAAAAAATTCAAATATAATATTTAAAGCTCGTGAAAATCTCTCTAGAAGCTTGAAAACTAGATTTAGCTCTAGGAAAATGGGAAAGTATCTAAAAACTAGAAAATTTCCCAAACATTCTAGTTGATAAACATGATTTAAAAACTTTGGACAACAATAATATGATATGTAACTAGCATTAATGCAACATACATTAATGTTGGATGTATTCATGCTATGCATTCATGTTGGTTGTGTCTTATATTTTTGTTGCAAAAAGTTCTCAAAATGTTCTTAGACATGAACTATAATGTTTTGGGACTTTTCTATATTTTTACGATGTTTTCCCATTTTTCTATAGCTAAATATGTTTTGTAAGTATCTAGAGATATTTTCTGAGCTCTAATATTTTTTTGGATTTGGTCATATCCCAATCTATTACTAGGATTTTTTTCTCGTAATTTTAAAAACTTAGAAGAAATTTCTATGGTTTAAAAACCAAGTATTTACTTAAATGTATTTTTACTAAAAAAGGCAAAACGTCTTCAAAACCACTTCATACCACGACAAAGAGATAATTTACATGGTTTTAAGAGTTTCGGAGGTAAAATATCTAGTTTTTTTAGTACGAGATGGTAAATCAGACTACATTAATATCTTAGGAGTTAGAATGGACTTTATTCTTCCCTAACAAGGGTGGAGCTAAGAGTGTCGTAGAACTGATCCAGCCCATGAAGTTCCGAGCAGCACCTACCTAGCACACCACCAAAGAAGATTGAATACTTACCCAGCTAGCATAGTCCGTCAGCACATAAGCTTGCCTAGCACATCACTTAGCACCCTCCCTTTTTTTTATCCAAGCTTCAACATGGATTACAATCCCGAGATAGCTCCTCGGATCATGTGTGTGGTAAAAAACTATAGAGATTGATAATATAAGACTTATGTTACATCATAAAAAGTTCTTTAAAATATTTAATTACCTTTATTTGAAATGCCATATGTTACATCATAAAAAGTTCTTTAAAATATTTAATTACCTTTATTTGAAATGCCATATTTATCGCAAATTTGTTTGTCAAAGTCTGACTTTGAATAAATTTGTGAATGATCTAAATGACATGTTTTGAATTGGGGGGAGTGGTAGATCAATTACAATTGAGTTTCATAAGAACCCTGCAAAATCATTGTGAGTGTTGTATTCTATCAGCATAGACATGTTCGCGTGTGGTGGTTTTAAGACATTAAGGACCTGTTTGGCAGGGCTCCTTCTGAGAGGCTCCTCTGTTTTTTACTGAAAAACGGCTCCTTCAGAAAAACGTTTGGCAGGGCTCCTCTGGAGGAGCCAGAGCCGGAGCGGGAGAGGAGCCCTGCCAAACAGGCCCTAAGGAGGCATCGATTTTTTTATAAATTTTATAACAATGTGTACACAAAGCTGAGCATCTAATAGGTGGCTTGTAACCTTTTTGCGGCATATGCTTCCAAACTAGGCGTCATGCTGGCCAATTTCTCTTCATCCAATGTTGGATGTTCTGAACATCAATATGGGTGATGAAAAAAGGTCACAACTTAAACCTCCCATACAAGAAAAGAACAATTCTTTCTTTAAAGAAAATCACGATTCTTTTTCCTTTTCGACACGGAGATAATGAATATAAGCATTTTCCATTGCAGAGCACTTGTATTATTTGATACTGTTTTGCAAAAGTTGGTATTATTTGTACCAAGTCACCATGCATTTCGTGTTGTGACGATCATGTAAGTACTCATGGCACATAGATAAACTAAAATATTGGATTGGCACATGTATTCTTATTTATCACTCACCTCTTTCAAAGAACAAACGAAATGTGGGTACAATAAAATATTAGCATGTGTGCAAATGCGAAAAAAGAAGAAAAAACATGCAAACAATATGTTCAAACAATACAATGTGTTGAAAGCAGCCCTTTGTACAGAACGCTAGAATATCAACTCAAAACTGATTTGGTCTCCCTAAAACGGTGACCAATCTCTTAAATGAACAAATCGATCACGTGACTCAAAGCTGATCTGGCTGCCGGCGGGCGGCGGCGCCGCCGAGCGCGCGCTGCTTGAGCATCTGGGTGTAGTTGAAGATGGAGTTGAGGCGCTGCTGGCGCAGGTCCTCCTTGAAGCCGCGGATGAACTCGTCGTCCATGGCGTCCACCTCGGACCTCCTGGCCTCCTCCTCCCTCTCCCGGTCCGGCCGCCGGCGCGCCTCCAGCGCCAGCGCGTAGGCCTCGTCCATGCTCATCCCGCTGGGCTCGTCGTCTTCTGCCCCCGGCGCGCGCCCCGACGACGACAGCGGCGATGGCGGGAGTGGGAGCGCGCGGGGGGACGGCTTGGTCGTCGTCGGTGTCGTCGCCGGCTCCTCTGTTTCGGCGCTGGCGGTTGCTGCGGTGGCGGCGTCAGGGTGCGGGAACGGCGTGGTGTTGAAGCAGGCGGAGGGGAAGGAGAAGATGGAGAAGGAGCGGAGGCGCTGCAGCACCGCGGAGGAGGCCCTCGGCGTGACCCCGGACCCGCGTCGTGGAGACGGCAGCGGCGGGCGTGCCCTGGAGAGGACGGCGACGGCGGCGACGACCGCGTTTACGAGGAGGAACCACAACGCACTGGAGCTCAGCCACGCCGGCAGCGGCGCCCACCACCACTCCGGCGCCATCATCTGCGGCTGGCCGGCCGGCCGGGCACCAACTGGATCGCGCACCCTCTCTACTTCGCGCGCGCGCGCTTCTCCTGGGCGGTGCTGGCTCTGCTTCGAATTACCCCCAAAAAACTTTGCGCTCCGAGTTGAATAGTTAGTTGATGGATGGGATAAGGACCTGCTCTGGTTCTTTGGACGGGCAATGGTGGTGTGGCCGTGGCGGACGCACGGGTGGGGGAGTATATATTGCGTAGCGTAGCGTGAGGCAACCAATGTAAGTAGCTCCCATGAACCTTCCGAGTTCCGAGTCTGCAATGGTGTCTGATGTCCCATGCATGTTCACCACGCCTTGCAACACTGGTCCACCACGCAACTCTGTAGTAAATTGCGTCCTTATTGCTAGCCCTCACGTCTCTCATCTGTGCTGACTGGGTGTGGTGTGTAGATTCGTGCGTGCGTGCGTGGCTGGATGTCTAGATAGACAAGCAAACAACCAACTGCAAGGCAGCTTCACGTCACCTGAGACTTAGCCATCAAGCAGCACTACTGCGGGCGGGGGATGTTAAAGTATATTGGAATATCTCCAAATATGGTAGATTAGTAGGATCATATAATCTTGGATTGCCTTATTTGTGAAGGAGGTTTCTTGCCCCCCAAGCAATGTATTCCTGTACAATCAGCCCGATGCTCAATAATACAATCAATCAACCAATTCCACCAATTCTACTCCTTCTGCACGTGTTTTCTTACTGTTCAAGATTTACTATTGGATGATTCACCCTGATCTACTTATTCTTGGTCTTGGTTTGTAGTTTTGGGTTGTCTAGCAACACATGGTAACAAGTATAATAGTTTAAAAATGGATGTAATCTTTGTTGATTTATGATTTCAAGTCACCTTGCCCAAAGTTTCCGATCTCAGACCAGAATTCCGGTCCTCGGAGATTCAGAATTTTCGAGCTTGAACAAAAATTCTAGTCCTATTGCCCGCTACAAGTTTTATATTTTTAGGACCCTATTTACACTTCTGCATGACATCTCAATCCTTCCAGTCGTGCCAAACGTGTACGGCTTTTGAAGCAAAAACAGTGAAGTCAAACCCATAAAAACATGGTTCTTCCTAGTTTCACCGTTTTTTGATATAAGCCCAAACCTCCCAAATAGGGCTTATATATTGGGTGAGATGATGCAATACACTAGGAATAGCTTAATAGATTGGAAACAGTGAGATGATGGAAATAGTCTGTAATCCTGTAATCAAATACTAGTTTCACATTTAAGATGCACGGTATCCGCCAGAGCCTCTATCAAAGAACAAATGAAATGGACTAGGATAAAATGGCACAAATGTGCATAGCAAAACCAAACAAGGAAAAGACTAACAGCTGTACACCTGTAGAGTGCAGACTGACGAATGCAAGCAGCATATGTACAAAAGCATAAAAAACGATTTCGCCTCCATGCATGAAAATTTTCATGCTGACCAACATCGATTTGAACCAAGAGAACACGTCAGTCAAAGCTGATGTGGCCGGGCATCCGGCTGGCGGCGGCCAGCACCGAGCGCGCGCTGCTTGAGCATCTGGGTATAGTTGAAGATGGAGTTGAGCCGCTGCTGCCGCTGGTTCTCCTTGAACTCCTCCGCCTTGGCATCCACGTCGGACCGCGTCTCCGGCTCTGGCGGCCGCCGTGAGGCCAGGACCAGAGCATAGGCATCCTCCATGCTCATCGCGCTCGGGTCCTCCTCCTCTGCTGCCGGCGCTGGCTGTGATGTGGGCACGAGCTCGCGCGGCGACGGCATGGCCATCCTCGGTTGTGTCACCGGCTCCTCTGTTGCTTGGGCGGCGGTGTGGGCGTCAACGGGCTGCAGCAAGGTCGGGGTGTCGAAGCATGCGGAGGGGTAGGAGAAGATCGAAAGGGAGCGGAGGCGCTGCAGCAACACCGACGAGGCCCTGCGCGTGACCCCGCCGCCACTGCGTGGCGACGCCGTTGGACGCGCCCGCGAGGACAGCACGGCGATTGCGCCGACGACCGCGTTTAGGACAAGGAACCACGCGGCCTCGGAGCCCAGCCACGCCGCCAGCGACGGCCACCACCACTCCGCCGCCAGCGTCGGTCCAGTCCCGTGAGGACTCGGTCGTTCTTGCCCTGGCGCCCTGCTCTGCTCTGCTCTGGTTCCCGAAAGGCTCGGAGAGATGGACAGGATCAGAAGGTGGCAAGCAGTGCTGCTTGGACAATGGGAACGGTGTTGCCAGGACTGTATAGGAGTATATTATATATTAGCGCGTGGTTCACTCGGTTTCGCTGTGGAAAAGTAGCATGGTTTAACTCATCAAAGGAAATACTACCATTATACTAGTTTGCTTCGGCGCGTTTTCAGAACCGGAGAAAACGGTCAAACGCAGACTGGGCATGCTAGCTTCGCATGATTGGATTCTTTCTCCCGGCCAAAATACACATTTCTCACGGGTCAAAGACCTGGTCTTCTTGGTCCCTGCACGACCACTCCAGTGTTATGACCATGGCACCGAGGTCTACCTCGCCTTGAACCTCCACCTGTTGCTGCAATTGCAAGGCCATAACATCGCCGACATGCGACCCAACGACCGCCGTCCACTGAGCATCCACATAGTGCGACCTGCGACCACACGTGTCAATAAAATATTGTTCATGATGAATGAATAAATAAATTTGAAAATTATTATTATTATTACAAAATCATATTTTTCTAATACATAGATGCACAACCATAAATTCTGATTTTTCTAATGCATAGAAGGAGTCTAAAACTCATATCATCATTATTGCCCTATTCACAACATTTACACCATCACTTCTAATGTCATATAGAAAGAATATTATGTCTAATAATGCATAGAACCATAACAAGAAATCATGATTTTCTTTCTAATGCATAGATGCAATCACTAACTTAAATCACTATTATTCTAGCCACAAACTAATAAACAATTATTACCATCACCTTTATCCTAACTAAAAATCAAGAATATTGTTCTACGCATGTTAGTTCAATAGTGTGTATAATTATAGAAGCTAACTACATGACACAATTTTGTAGAAAGATTCTCACACGAGGGCTAGCCATGTTGCAAAATTTTAAAATAGACCCACTGATTTATTTTAAAACAATAGTGCAGTAAAATGAGCCACAATAAGAACTAAATTCTTCTACCTATATCATCACTAAACCACTTAAATCACACAAAGTACATTTTAGCTATCTAGAATCGACATTTGATTAGTGAGCAAGACAGCCGATGTATGTTGATCTTTTTTTTTTTTTTGAAAACGGAAAAGTTTCTGCCTCTGCGATCACACACAGCCAGGTTCTTATAAGTTTTTAGCTCATCTGCTGACTACAATCGAACAAATAAGAGCACACCAAATTGTAGGGAAAATTTAAAAACAAATTATATTATTGTTTGTCCATCCATTCTTGGCAAAAATATCCAAAGCAACGAGCTCCAAAGCTTCGCTCGCGGACCGGATGGTCTCAATTATATCATCACGCTGCAGCAATGCCCAAAGTAAAACACAACCAATTTGTTCATCACCCGAAGATAGCCTGCATAAATTAAGGATGTGACACGTTTTTTCTCTAAAAAGTAAGATCATTACGCGTACACCAAATTGTCCAAATAATGGCTGCAACCCTACAAAGATTAACTTGTGTTCGTTTTGATCGATGTCAGTTTAACCAATTCTCAAGCATGTGAACTATGGATCTAGGTGGTGTTAACCCAGTGGCTATATATGTTGATCCATGGGTAGTTGGTTTATATTGATTAGTCATGGAAAAATTAATTAACTATGTGAAACTATACTTACAAGCATCTGAAATTAGGTATTATATTGCTGATAATCCTTGTATTAGGATTTTTTAATAGGCCAGCCATAGTTTGTGTAAGTACCTAAAAACAAATAGCATTATCGGGGTTACGATCCCCGGTTGTCTCAAGGCACCGATTAGTTAGCAGGCCGAGCGGCCCACGATACATCAGCTAGCGAAGGCCCAAACAACCGAGGTCCAGCTGAGCCAAGTGAACCAGGCCGAACGCCAAGGCCAGGGTCAGCCACGACCCCTCCCTTCTACCTTAGCCGCACGACGCACAAAAGACTCATGACCTCACCACCGTCCCGACCCCTGGAAGGAAGGGGAGAGGTCAAGCCCAGCCAAGCGTGTCTGCTCTAACAGGAGTAAGCATGCCGCACTGAGCCCGCAAGGACCGAATGGACAACGGTCACCTTGGTCCGGTCAGACGCCAACCCTGTGCCACGCAGTATAGACAAGACAACACGGCACAGCGGTGACGGTCAGTATGGCGACCCGCCGTCCAAATACGGTCCAACAAGATATATGTACGATTCTACCCACTACGGGATGGGATCCACGACGGAGGCCTTGACTTAGGGGCCACCCAACCCAGCAGGAGCCATGACCCCGGAGCTTGGGATCGTGGCCACCAACTCCACAAGCTGACCAGGCGACCGGCGACCTGGGGGCAGCTACCCACTCCTGTACGACGCCCCTAGGAGAACAAGAGGCAATGACGAAGGCCACGACGAAGACCATGTCGCATAGGACGGCTAGCAAACCACCACCATGCCAATAGTGCCGCCATGGCCGGCACAGTAGCACCACGCCACACTTTACAGCGACGTGGGCACAAGACCATGGCGACAACCACGCCAAGACGTGCTCCACAAGATGGCGTAGCTTGCAAGCCAAGTTAGCTAGACTCCTCCCTCAGACTCACGACCCTTCGGTCAGGAGAACCTCCTACTCTATACATGCACTGGCCTCGGACACTATATAAGGGTAGCCAGAGCATCCTCTCGATTCATTCTCTATTATCTTGAACACATTCTCACCATAGTAGGGCTCCTAAGGCTTTCCTTCAGGCAGTCCATCTCCTAGCTCTAGCTCTCCTACCTCTTCCACCATTCTTGCACCCCCATTGTAAGAACTTCAGAGCCTTCAAGCGAGAAACACGCACTCGATCATCTATGAGACTAGACGTAGGACTCTGGCATGAATCAGTATAAATCCTTGTATCTTTTGGATACTACCATTGTCTTCCTAGAGCAACACGGCAATCATATAAGTTTACTAGTCTAGTTTATAAAACACCGACAGTTGGCACCAGGTAGGGGACAGTCGTGCACTCTCGATTGTTGAGAAGGAAGCGATGGCTCCTCGCACCGACGGTGGACTCACTCGCAGAATGGCCCACGACGGCCACATCCGCCATGAAAACTACGAGATCATCAACATCGAAGGGCCAATGCCTGCATCCACCTTTAGTCACCGCTCGGACCTCTACTCTAGAGATCTGGACCCCGCGGTTTAAGACGGACACACTCTCGAAACTGCCTTCAGCGGCAGTATACTAGAGTCTACCTACATAGGGGGGCCAGTAGCCTCTCTCGTCACCGTCCGCATCCAAGTCTTCCACCCAGGAAGCTAGAGGCCCACGGCTCATGGCGAGCTCACCCAGGGAATGGCCCCAATTGGCCACATCCTTTCGGGGAACCACGAGGTTATCCACACCAATGGGTCAACACCCATCACCAGCTTCTACCCTATCCAAGCCAACCGCGTGGGAAGCCTGGATCCGGCAATAAAACCACGCCCCGAGCAACGTCTTCGCCACCAACGGAGCGAAGCATGTCAGGGAACGCATGAGCGATGAAATCACTCGCCGCCATGTGGCATTGTCATCAGTGATCAGGTGTCTGCCCGGAACCAGGGTCCAATCCCGCATCATGGACAACCCATCCGCCATGTCCTGACAAACTGTCAGCTTCCACTCGGAGGCACGAGCATCTGAGGGAGTAGGCTCTCTGAGGGCACCACGCGCCGCACCAAGTGGACCGAACCGTATCGCCCTCAGAACCTACTTCCGCAGCGACAGCTCGCGCTAGCTCTTCGTCGAGAGCGGCAACCACACCTAGAAGCAGAGACACGATGACCATGACGTCGTCGCGCCATGAGGGCTCAAGCACCAGAAGGCACAAGACATCCCGGCTAGAAACTACAGCAGGCCGAACATGAAGGAGTCACCCCCGGGGGCTCGCGAGCCCGCCGAGGACGTCGAGCCGGCAAGGATCGGCCCAAGGCCGCCCGAAAGGTCAACCCCCGCCAAGCTTCGACCGCTCCAAGTGCTAAAGAAGCGCCCTCACCAGCTCATGGCCCAGGGACCGCAACTCCTCCTCCATGAGCAAGCGTTCGGGGGCTCGCCGCGCCTTGAGCAACGACCGCCAGTTTCACGATAGCTTTCAGTACATCGGTCAGTCATGTCAACATTGACCCTAGCCTCTCTACCTAAGCACATCCACATACATGTGTAAGCTCACACATAGTCGTAGAAACCCAAAGTCAGCTTCTAGAGTAGGCCAAAGAGCACGATACCCACACATTTCATCCAAGTGTTGCTCGACTCCCGAGTGACTCGATCCGATTTGCACCAGTAGTCAGACACGACTCACTCGCAGGGGCTACACACATAGGCATGCCTAGATGCATCCCGAGGTGTAGCATAGTTTGTCATCATCCTTGCAACCCGATTCAAGTTTTTCCACATGATACCCACACATTTCATCCAAGTGTTGCTCGACTCCCGAGTGACTCAATCCGATTTGCACCAGTAGTCCGACACGACTCACTCACGGGGGCTACACATATAGGCATGCCTAGATGCATCCCAAGGTGCAGCATAGTTTGTCATCGTCCTTGCAACCCGATTCAAGTTTTTCCGATCATATCTCATGCCGCGGCGAATCAATGACCCGCTCTTCAACTTCTCGTTCACACTAAAGGTCGCTCCGGCCAAGCCACGTGGACTAGCTCCAAGGCAAGGCGAAGCACCCGTCGTACTAGTTTGGAAAGGAACGAGGCACTATCTCGCTCAAGGCAAAGAGAATGAAAGGAAGCAGAACGCTCAGCCCTTACTCGCTTTTCTTCTCGCATCGCATCGGATCTGCGACCTCTCCCCGACGTCTTGCCGCGTGGTCGGGTTGCGCACCTTTTAGCCCTGTGAGCCAGCCCCCAGGCTAAAACACTCACCTACACGCACAAGACTAAGGGAAATGGCATACATTCCTAGCTCAAACTAGAAGAAGATGGGGAAACGGCAAAATGGCAAACAAATGCGCCAATCACACGTCATATATAAAAAGCATGAACATGTTCATCACAACAAGATAACCCATATAGCACAAAACATTTACACTAAAAACCATCATTCACCGAAAGTCTGGAACTGGCGGTGGATGTAGGCGACTGACATCTTATCGGCAAGAACCTTCATACCACGAGCGGCGGCACTGCCAATGGCAAGGATATCACTGTCGGACTTCCCCGGTGCATATCCTCGCCCAACAGCATCAAAATCAACGTAGCCACAGTGTGAACCAACCGATGCCAAGGCGGCATGAACGCCACAATGGATCCCCTCGGAAATCAGAGGATCCACTTGGAGGCGGGCCTCATCAAGGAGAAG